AAACACAAACTGTCACCAACTTCTTGGCAAAGAATGAATTACAACTGAAATTCAAAAGAAATTATTTGCCTTTTTGTTAAGATAAATAATTTGTCTGAAGCCTACACTGCTTAAGAGTAGAATGCAAATGATAACGTAATGAAAAACCTAACAAAAGAACCTACCAGTTAATCATTTAAATTTGCCAAAAAGGTCTGAACAAATATGTCATATCTCATTTCACACTTGCATGGAAATACTAAAACCGGCTGCGTTGACAAAAAAGTTTTTCGAATGTAAGCCTAATAACCAAGACTCATCATTCAATGGCTTCTTTTCCAGCCAAACTGCAACTGTCACGAATTTTTGAATAAATAACAGCTGGATACACTACTTGATCAAATTTGTCTGCCTTGCAAAAACCTCATAACTTGCAATATTGGAGAAAAATTACTCTAAAATAAAATTCTTTATGGTTATGAGAATTTTTTTTAGAGTCTGCGATGAACTTAAAATTCATACTATTACTGTCCATTTAGAAACTACAAGCAAAAGTCTCTTTTCTTATAAATGACATGCAAATGCTAAACCACACGAGAAAGCATCCCAGATGTGAAGAATTTAAAATCATGAAGGTTGTATGTCTTAAAAATCCGTGATCAGCAATAGAAAGAAAAGTGAAGAACCACAACTTTCATTTACAGCAAGTTCACTATGTCATTTCATGCCTACTACCTACTTTTATTTGACTAAAAACTGAAACAGTAGTCTAGAATAATCTGCAACGAAATGCGCTTTTTTTTAAAATTGTCTTTAGAATAACTGTTTAGCTGTTTTTTTGCTGAGGCAATCGCAAAGTGCTTTAACGACCTTCTTTATATGGGAAAGACATGAAACCCTGAAGAGACAAATGGATAAATAAGCAACACAAACAAATTTTCACGATCAGAGTTTGAAAATTCAATGATATCTTTTACCCTAAAATCTTTCTTTTTACGCTGAAAGTAAATGCCGATAAAACTTAGCCTGTTAACGTACTTTTTAAATACAATTTCTTATAGAGATTGAATAACTTATTAAAAATCAAAGGACCTTTCTAGAACAAAAACAATAAATTAACACTTTAAGCACCGATATTTTGTCTCTTAGTTGTTGCAGTTATTAATGAGTACGTCACTTTGGCAGGATTAGGCAAATAGAAACAGAAACATGCAACTGAAAGCTATTATAAGAAAAATAAATTCGTTTTGTCTCAAGTAAGCTAAATACTTTCAGCCAAAAGCTGGACAATATATAAAGTGTGGTCACTCCTACAAAATTATCGAGAATAAATTCCTTACGTACAAAAAATCAAGTTCACAGAAAAAACTCATAGTAATAAAAATACCAAGTGCAAAACCTGAATAACTTTACCATATTTAATGAGTCTTTATTGCCCATCATAGGTTTACTACATTTATAGCTGCAATCAGATAAAAGTGATGAAAGGAAACCTTGTGTGAGGATGTATAATCATCCGAATAATCTGTTTCAGTGCTGTCAGATGTATCCACAAGCAAAATTTCATCAACATTCGCACCAACCGACTGCTCACGAGCTCGTCGCACAGCAATAGTCGCACGAAGACGTTCTCTTTTTAAGCGTCGTCGTTCTGCTCTTAAATCGTTCATTAGTCTCCTTGTCTTACTTCGCAGCGCTTCATATCTACAAGGAAATGCACTATAAACATTAAGGGAACTTCAATCCGTACTTCATTGTCAGAATAAACAAAATATATTTTATGAAATTTTTAAAATTCAAGTAATTTCAAAAAAATTCAAGTTAAGAAGTACCTTAATCTGCTTAATTCATCTTCTTCGTCTTCTTCCCATCTTCGTTTCAATAATTCTTTCTTTCTTTTTACCTCTTTGCTTATAAAACCGAATCTTGCACTTGTACATGCTTCTTGAGCTCCGATTTCAGGTTCTATATCTCGATGTAATCCTTTATTTTCATCAGAAGCTATCTGAACTTGGTTAGGCATCATAACATCGTTTACATGGTACTTTGAAATCGTAAAATCATTTTCTTCTGCTGCTGTGAATTGTGCAATTATTGCCCGTTCAGAGGGTGAACTCGACTTCGTTCCTTTTACCTTTGTATATCCCCGCAATTCTTTGAGCTTATTTACTGCCTCTGCGATACTACCTGCTTTCAATTTCTCTGCTTCCCGAGTAATCATTTCGTTACTGTCACCGCTTAAGTTGTTATCCTTACCCAAAATACTGAAAATATCAAAAATCTTAAATGATAGACAATCGAGATTAAAATTTCAATACTCCCAGACATAAATATGCAACTTATTTAAATATGTGTGATGTAATTATCATCACAAACTAAGTGAACAATATACACTGAAATTTTAATCTCATATTTACCTGTCATCGGCGAGATCTACTGTTATTTTCATATCCTTTTTTGTATCCACCACTTCGTGACCATGTTTTATTATCCTGCTTAATCTCAATGTTTCGGCACTTTCTTGTGATATTTTTTGCGATACCTTTATCTGCAACAATATGCTGTTGGATGCAAGTTTTTCATAACATGCAAAAGAGTGAATTTAATTATTTCACTAAAAATTAATCATAACAGCCCTTTGCACTAAGAATAGATCTTAAAATGAATTATTCAAACAACTTCATTTGGTAAAGCCACATTTACGCGACACAAAGCGAATAAAATCTAGAGAACTTAGAAATGGATGTGTAACTGAATTAAATAAATTACTAAAAAATCGCTAAATAATTTTAACGATATTCTTCTACGCTACAAGTGAGGTAGGATTACTTTGATATTTGACAATATTTTGAACATACAGATTAGAACCAAAATCGATATAGACATACTTCATCCAAAACACCGAATGATGGAGCCGATGATCGGATAATATTAGAATTACCCACATCTTCTTTTGATTTGAGAGAGTTATCTAACATTTTTAGACTTGATAGACGAGCGACGTCCCTCTGAAAAATTAGAATTAACCGGTGAAATCAGAATATGGTCTTATATCATATAAATTTTTAAAAGTAACACTTTTGATTCCTAACATTTTTTCTTTAAAACAAAGAATAGTTGAAAAAAATGACAGGGCAATTATATATTGTATTAGTGATATTATTGGAGTTTTTATCATCCTTTTCGGAATGGAATTAAGATGAGTGAAATATTATTCTTAATCAAAATGAACCTGTTTTTATAAAAATAGGACCATGATGGAAAAAGTGCGAAAAAAAAAGCCAAGAATTTACAGTTTCTTTATCTGCATTTACCTTCCTACTGCTTTCGAATCTCTCAGCAGCAATTTTTGACCTGATGCTGCGTTCGTCATCCGATTCAGACGTTACATAATCCACCAAGACCTTTTGTTTTGTCCTGGCACAAACAATTTTTAAAACATTTTCACTTTTTCTTAGGTTTTATTCTCACAATTCGAAAATGAGAAAGACTTCTTCAGCACTGTCTTGAACTTTTTCTCATGCAGAAGTAAGACTTCCAAAGAAAACAAAAGTGAATTAAAAAAGAGTGAAGTTGAAACTAACAAACAAATAACATTTCCCTTTTATAAAAATATGGTTACCACTCAATGAAATGTATCATACTAATAATTTCATGACTAATAATTTCATGAAATTATTAGTCATGAAATCATACTAATAATTTCATGAAATGTATCATACTAATAATTTCTTCTGAGAAATACCTTGGTGACATATCTTTTTCCGTTATAATTTCACCATCCTCCAATGTTTCTTGCGAAATTTTCATCGTCACTACACTTCCTTCTTCGCTATTTCTGTGATTTTCTTTTTTCTTTCTTTTGTCCTTTTTTTTCTTCATTTTGTCCTACAAAGATATGTAGACACAATTAAATATGAATGATGATAGAAAGAAACTCATTACTCTGAGGATTACACACAAATTAATAGCAAGCATGATACAAGTATCTTACTTTTTTGTTGTCGCTTGTTTCCTTCTCCATATTCAGAACTGTTTCATCTTGAATATCCAAACATGCATTTCTGCAACAAAACACCATTTAAAAAAAAAATAGAAATAGAACTAAAAAACGAACCACAATTGATGAACAGATAAATAAATACCACATTAAACAAATACTTTGCGCAATTAACAAAAAAAGCAAAAATTAGCAAATTCACTTTGCTAGCAATTCAAGTTTGCTTCATCTAATAAAATTAAACATGTTCTAAATTTATAAATCGTCTTCTGTTCTTTAAAGACTTTCTTAGCTAATAAATTACATTTGCATAAAAGTACTTTCGTATTTCATAATCCACCCAATGCAATACAAGCATCAATAAGAAACATTCCAATTCATTATTGCAATTCACCTTTTGTGGTGGCTTTTCTTTTTCTTTCTATGCCTTTCTTTAGATTTCTTATGCTTCTTCAATTTTTCACTCTTCACTTCGAAGCTTTTAGGAAGCAAAGATCTGAAAAAGTTGCTTTTTAATGCATGAGAATTAAACTAAACTTTGTTTCCTAAACAAATTACTAAAATTCAAACCAAGAAGGGAGACCCCTTCTTGCAGTTTGAAGATTTTATCTTCTTCACTGATTTCGACTCTGTACCATTTCTGAACATATCCGCTAATCTTTCCACATACCAGATATCCCCCTGAAAGGCCTTTTGAGTTTCATTCAACCTCATGTAAAAAATCTGACGCACAAGATCGTGGATCATGCTACTAATTAACTTGAAATTATACTTTTCACTCTGAGGACTTTCTGAACAATATGTCGATTTGTGTGTAGCAACTTCATCATCGACGGGCGTTAAATTTTCTTCTGAATGTTTGAGTGAATTATCGGATGTAAGCTTTGTTGTTTGCGACATATCGAGTTCTAAATTTATGACCATGAAACAGGATATTGCAATCTACAAAGAATAATTCAATAACTTAGCCCATGTACTCTAAACACGAGTTGTTAAGAAGTACTGGTTATAATTTCTAAGACTAAAAAGTTTTTATGAGACCTGTAGAAGTGTGACGGCTCGAGCTTCGATTTCGATTATCTGAAGTTCTATAACTTGAGGGTATTCGTGACCGTATTGAATGCTGCATATTAACAATAGAACTACTTCTGCTCTTTGAGTCTTCATAATAACTACAACTTCTGCTCGATTTCTCGGGTGTTGGTGTTTTTTCTCTACTTGTACTCCTAAAAATTTATTATCACAAAAAATAAGGAAGTATATAACAGGGTAAAACTAAAGCAAACTACATTAATGATATAAAAATGATGAAATGTTGCAGTGGTATTAATACACTATGATTTACTTATATATTGGTCGTAACTGTATTTAAATACACAAAAAATTTACATATGTTGTTATAGTATTATACATAAAGGATATAACATCTTTTAATGACCTTCCATATTCTGAAGACTTTTCTCTAGATGAGGAGCGCTGATTTTCACTTGCATATTTGTCATCAACATCTGGAGTCCAGTAACGTCGATAACTGCGACGAGAACGAGAACTATGCTTGCGCAACCGATCTCGATTCCGAGAATAATGTCTGGTATGACAATAGTAATCATGAGGTGTACGACTTCGAGCAGGACTCCTATGTCGCTTTTCTCCCGAACGACTTCTACGATGCGAAACACGATGGTGTAATGAATGTCGATGTTCACTATCACTTAAAATTTTAATGACTGAGAAATCCAAATACTACTAAAATCATTATCATCACAAATTTCTGGAATAAAGTTATCACGATATATCTTGATATTCTTTACACAACTAAAAATAAAGTCAATGAATCAAAAATAACCTTCTCTGTTTTACTCTTTGCTTCGGCTTATCACGATGCGATTTTTTCCCTACACTTTTTCCATGAGATCGAGAAGAATGCTCAGAGAAATCTTCTCGTTTTTGAGATGCTTCCTTTTCATTTTTTGATTCGAAAATCTCCTCATCAGAAGGTTTTGTTCCCAGCTACAATATGAGATTAAAATCTGTAAGGAGTCTTATACTAGAAATAATCTAAAATTTTCGGAAATGTAGTACACCACTAAAACATGTCACTAAAAATGATAAAAAAAGTCAAAAATATTTCAAAGCAAATTTCAGAAAAAATATAATTTAACAAACCTTGAAAATGAGACTAGTGCATATTAAAAAAAGAGGAAACGGTTTTTGTACAATTTAAAAATCATCTTGGTAATAATCTGAATAAGACAGGAACAAAATATTAAGTTCACTTATTGATAAAAACTTAGAGCAGATAACGCAAACCTTATGGCCACTAGCGTTGTCCTCAAAACTTTCAGCAGCTTCCACATTTTTTTCTAAAACGTATGTTTCACTTATAACATCTGTCGAAGATGAAACTGGCACGACTCCAGAACCAAAATTCATGACTTTTGATTCCGAGAGCCATTCGCTTGAACTCTCTGCAATTCCTTTTTCGGTTTTACTATCACCACACAAGTCACCCCCGTATTCCTTAGGTAGGGCTACGAACACCTGATTCTGATTTTCTGAGTTCATCATTCCATAAGATGCATTTATATCATTGGTTAACGCATTTGGCAAGAGCTTTATTTGTTCAGTAGCAGCTTGCTTCATTTCTGAATTCGTAGTAATATCGCCTGCTACTTTTTGCGCATTCAAATAATCTCCCAAATGCTTTTCATCAGCAAAAAGATCAATATTTGATGCTTCAGTTCTCAGATTATGTTCGGGTTCAACAGATAAAGGCGAATCAGAGGGTAAAGTAGCTGTTGGAAGCGGTGGTGAAAATTCTTGTGATTCACTTTTATCTACATCTTTCTGAATACCATCCGCTTGCAGAGATACTGATAAAGCATCAGTGGGAGTGTCCTCCGCCGATGCATACAGAATCGATGTTTGAGTATTATCACGCAACTTCTTGCGCGAAAATTTCAGCTGCATCTCAATCATCTTCTTAGTCTTGGCTCTTAAAGCGGGATCAGATGTTGTTTTCTTTTCTATATCTTCACATGGTAAGATTGGTATATTCAAACTTTGGGGAGGATATGTCGTAGGTGGAGGCGGAACAGTTGGAGGCAAATCAATATCTTCAGGACGAACCTATAAATGGGACTAATCAATGAATAAAAATCAGCATCAAAAAAATTCGATGAATTCCGATTTTCAGAAACGCATTACGAGCAGAAATGCTTTACCTTTTTTAGCATCTTCATATGTCTTGCGCTCTGCTCATATGTGCTACTGACTGTTGATTGTGTCAGAGTCTGATGTGACGCATTCGATTTCTAAATTACACAGAGAGGATGATCATTTTTATTTCTTATCGAAAAGCATTAAGAGATAATCTGATATTCAAGCAAATTAAGTGCTCGCCAGGATGAGGCCAACAGTAACCAAAAAACAAAAATTTTATATAAAGATTGAACTCGATAGCCCATAAACTCTACTCTACGTTGATTTACAAATGTTCCGAAATGTATTTTTTTTTAAATGCATAAATTAATGAAGAAAACCAACTTGTTCCATGCCACCTTTATAATATCGACTGAAATAATCATTCCATTGCAAGGAATACTGGTATTCTTCTTCAGTAAGGGGAGTTATTCCTGTAAAATGCAACACTATCAAAGCTACAAATTTTAGCTACATATGAAGCCGTATTTAATTTCGCTTTACCACTTATTTTCCTTTTTCATGCACTGATATAGTATATCCTCAGTATTTCAGCTCAAGCGAGCCATTCGATTCACAACTGATTTTCTCGAATCCATGCTCTATCACACACATGAAAAACATCGATTTATGCCTACAAATCGAGCTAAATACCAGTAATGCCAAATTACACCAGTACTTATCCATTCCTTTCAGAACCTTCTCTTCCATTTTTCATACAAAAAGATAACGAAAAACTAAATCACAGCAAAAGAAGAACAGAACATGAATGTAGTGATGCAACACGCGCCGGTATGGTAGCACTGACCACATTTCTTTGATTGTTGTTTTTTTGTTGCCCCAACTAACCGTAGACTGAAAAGGCTAGACATAAGCTGAAATTAATCATTTGATAGAAAATGAAGAAACACGGATGTTAGAAACTACCATCGCTAGCCAAATGAATGAGCGGCTTTCCACTTGCATCGTAAGGCACCACTGGTTTACCATGTTCATCTAACGGCATTACTGGTACTCCTGTAAACAAAGCATATGTTTTCAATCCTGTGCATAACGTGGAACTGATAATGTAATAACTAAATAAAATCAGAAAATAGACTAATGAACCATTACCATAGATATTAACAGGCGCTATTGGCTTGCCATTCGGCCCTGATGGAAATATGAACCGATTATTTGCATCACGAGGAAATATTGCTAAGCCTAAAAATTAACAAGTGAAATTTCTACTCAATTATTTTAATTAACTCAAACTTACCAAAAAAAATAAGGAAGATTTCTACAGTTTCTGAGTGATTTATAGAACGTACTTACCATTTGTGTCAACAGGTACAATAGGTCTTCCAAGTACACCAGTCGGAAATACGGGCTGCCCATTGTCATCCACCGGAAAAGTAGGCAAGTGAGTAATTGGATCGAATGGAAAAATTGGCATATTATTGATATCTACAGGAAAGGCCTTTTCACCGCGTGCATTTGTTGGTAAGATGAATCGTCCTTTCATATCATGAGGAAACAATGAGCTACGCATTCCACGATTGTAATTATAATTCGTATAGGGTATAAAATTCCCTCCACTATCTTGCATATACCAATAACCATCTCTGTCTATCGAATATATCTAAAATTTTTAAAATTTGGGAAAAAATTGTCACTTTATTCGAATAAATTCTAAGGTTTTATTTACACATCATGGAATCCGATTTCAAGATCCAACTAAGTGATGCAATTTGAACACGCCCAACATCAAACATATATATGTGCACTCGGAAGTCAGTTTCAAGTTTTCTACCAAAAAAAAACTTTTGAATAACCATAATTTCTTACGATTATTATGACATACATGGTAGAAACATAGTTAAGTGTGCTGCTTCCGATAAACTTTGTTCCTTTTTCTATTAAAACTACTCGCTCATGCGTGCATTCGATGAAATATGATACAAATCTCAAAAACTAACGGCAAACGAAGATTGTGTCTGACGATATACGTTCGACTTCACACGAGAACCATAATTAAAGAAGCGCATAACTAACCGACCGCTTAGCACAGAATGTAAAGAATAAAACTACGAAACGCACACTTATATAAGTGGTTCTTATTAAAATTTTTGCAGTCAAGTAGCAGAGATTAAAGAACAAATTAAAAAATGGAGCTATAGTGAAATAAAGCACAGAGAGAAATTTTTCCTAAATTTTATTCTACATGAATAAATTCATATTTGTTGAAGATATTGTCGCAATTTCTGGAATATCAATGACGAAAGCTTTAAAATTTATAAGTGATATTAAATTACCTCTCCAGCGCAGCCCACATAATAGCGATAACCACCATTTTCCCCGTGATACATCCAGCCTGGAGGAATACCATACCTCGAACCTACATAATTAAGCAATAAAATTTTCTTTCAAGAGGTCATGTGTGAAAACGCCAGTTTTAAGATCAATAACCAGTTAAGAAATGAAAATTCACGTATGTTTTACGTCTACAAAATGAGAATAAAATCACATACAAAAGTAGATTACATATATATCAAATCAAATCATATATATAAAAAGCTGCTGCTCCGCCGAGTTGCCGGCTGCTTGAATTATATCACAGAGCAGTCATTCATATTTTGAGAGAGGTGAATCCAGCAGAGTCAGCCGCAAATACTAAGGGAATTATGCGCTAATATGGTAGTCTTAGAAGAAGCTCAAGAGTATACCGTGGAATAATGAAAAACAGGACTACGCTCCAACCCAAAAAAGCTGCGGTGAAGTCCAAGCAAAGATATTGAAGAAAATAATGCAACTAGCAAAAACTGCACTAAACGGCAAGAACTTTATAATGAAAGTAAACGAGTAAGCCACAGGTTTAATAAACTATTCTATTGGAATGCTCAAACTGGAAACAGAGAATTTTCAAGCAACTGATCACGATACTAGGCAGTTACAAAATAAGTATGGAATTTACAGTCAAGTTGCATGTTTATAGACTGTATTTGCTAAGAGACGAAAGCTAGGACGTGGGCTTTGCTTGTTGAACAAAAGAGTAAGTTTATGCTTCTGCAGTTTTATAACGCACTTATAGAACTGAAAGGTGACGATTTTAAGGCAGAAGGTTTACAAGACGTACTTAGCAGTTACTGTATTTTACTTTCTGATCAAATACAACCTCATTAAAAAACCACTATCGAAAGCTATTAGCAGCCCAAAAAGCTCTTCTGTATAGCAAAGTATTAAAAAAAAATTCGTTATGCAGAGCTGTACAAGATGCGCAGTAATATATATATGATTTGATTTGAAATGAAGTTACTAAATTTCAATAACATTAGTTCACGAAAATACGAAAAGTATCATACAAATTAGAAATGAACAACTGATATTATATCTACGGTTTAAGAATTATTTTTCAACTCTAATCGCTCATAAATCTATAATCAATTAAATTATTCGGAGCAAATGTTTTAATTTAATAACATCGTTTCAGAATGAACATATTTCCCATATTTTGCATGATTATGTAGAGTAGAAAAATTATGGTGAAATCACTATCAAAGTTCAGATTATAAGCTATATCAAATAATACATAAAATAATAAAGACTAAGTTAAAATTGGACTAACTTCGAAAAGCTTTTTCATCGACTTGCTTACTTCCTTTTTCAGAATTATCGTGAGTGATTTCAACAATCTGAAATAATACTTTAGTAAAAATGAACAATGATGACAATGTGTTAAACTCAGCACTAATCGAAAACATCAAGTTCATGTAACATGAATAAGAACAAAATGAATTCCGTTACCTTTTCTGGCACGATTTCACCTACGTTTTCTGTTCTAGCAACAGCACTAGCACCATTATTCCTGTCGACAGATGCCACTTTCTCCGTTTCGTCATCAACTTCCATTTCTTCGGTACCGTGATTATCATTAACATTCACTTCAACAAGAAAATTGACTTGTTTATCTCCAGTTGATTCTTGTTCTTCTAATAATGGCTCTGGAGATTTTGAGGAATCTGATTGCTCTCGTACATGTTCTTGATCAACATCAAGGTTATTATCAGTGAGAAGCCGACAAGTTAGTAAAGCAGGATTGTGTTCTACGCCTTCTCTCGGAGAAGCAACTTTACTGCCATCATCTTTTACTTTGAACACAGTACAATTAATCTTGTCAACAGTATCATCCATCGCGTTAAATAATTAGCGCCTGAAAACTAAAACTTCGTCATTTGCAACTACTTCTACAAGTATGCTCGATAGCCCCGACCCAGTTCTAGTACAAAGAAATCCAGTTATGAACTGTTCCAATTATTGTTTGCATCAATCATTCTTGTGAATCAATTTTAATGCAATAAAAAAGATAATTTCTGGCAGAGGATCATCACTAACATTCACTTCAACGAGAAAATTGACTTATCTTATTTTTTATCCGCCAAACTTTTAAATAGTTTGTAAAAATGCAGTACAACAAATGACAAAAGCAGCATTGTATAAAACATGATTTCTGACAAAATAATGATAACTCAGTCAAATGAAAAATGCAATAATTCGCCAAACTTTTAAATAGTCTGAATAACTCTTCAGACAAGCATATCAATGCTAGATGACATCATTTTTTTATCTCTGAAATTTGTGGAAGAGTTGGAAATTTAAAAATATATTAAACAAATCTTTGCAAGAAGAAAGCAAAACAAAAAATACGAGCACAGAACATTTGGTAATGCTGCATTTAGTAGGTTAATTTCTCAAGATGGAAAGTTATTTCTGTTTGTTGCTCAGAAAAGTGTTCTGTATCTTATTTGTTTTTAACTAAACAATTTGAAACTCAACGGATAATTCAGCATAATTATCGATAAATTGAAGAAAAGACAGAAAATCATCCCACAACGATTGTAACTTTAAGCTGCAATACATCGCGGAGTTTCAAAACTGCTCCCTATTCTGAAGAATTCTTACGCAGATTTAGAAATAAACTATTCCCAATATGAGGTCAATGATCAAATAGCTAACGCGATTTTGGCAGTTAGCCAGACGGATGGAAATTTCCAGAATACTCAAAAAATAAAGAAATAAAAGCTAAGAAACTTCTAAGAGGATATCGCGTAGAATGCTCTGCAGTTACTTCATTAATAAATTTTATTGATTTCTCGAGACTATAAGCTAGAAACAGAATGATTTGAGTGTGACCTCAACTAGTTACTTTTAACTTCTGAATGCTCACACATCCTACTCGCGCATATTCTTCACTTCCCATTCGCTTTCTTTGATTTTATACATTTATAATAACTTAACTTGCCCTGAAGTTGACAGCTTCCAGGACAGTTTTGCTGAACATTAGCGAAATTGTCGTGGAAGCCTTTTTCCACAATGTGAGGAATCCACTACTTTATCTCACTGTCCAGTCATTTTAAAATACTAAATTACTCTCCCTGTCAAATCTAAAAAGTCATACAGTCAAATCTTATTTAAGGGTAGGTATAAAAAAATTTGCTGCAAGAAGTATTTGGGTATATAGTGATAAGTTTTTAGCGGTCTCTTTCGTCAGTATCACTATGCAAAATTGAATCTCATATAAAGTCGTGGAGTTCCACTTTTGTATTTAAATATATTTTTACGGCAGTTTACCTGCTGTGGAGCATTCTGGGATGGACTCATCGTGTGATACATTCATTGACAAAAGACAGCGTAAAATATCATATCTCATCAGCAAAACATGGTGGAAGGACAAAGCTAAATTTATTCTGTATGCAGGCGGTATTTTTACATGTTACCTTTGCTTTGGAATTGCTCAAGAATCAATGTAAGATTTTGCTTTCTATTTGCGGTAGGGTTTTTAAAACTTTGTAAATAATTATTAAACTTGAAAAAAAAAACTTGAAATTAAAGCATGAGCTTGCAATCCTTAACTTATTTAGTGTTGTGCAGTTAGTTTTTTTAGTCTTGCTTGATTTATCGGTCTTGTCTATGATGAAAATTATGAAGTTCTATTGTCTTTTTATTTGATGAAAGGTTTTTAAAATTTGAAAAATAATTCCAATGTTTTTAGTACACAAGGTAAATATGGTATTGATGGGAAGGAGCGTTTTACTTATACCCAAGCACTTGTATTTATGCAGTGTGTTGTAAATGCAGCACTTGCATATGTTTTGAAAAATCAGACAGAAGATAATGTACCGATAAGAATGTATTCGGTTTTGGCATTCTCCTATCTGCTAGCAATGTTTGCCAGTAACCATGCATTGCAATATGTTGCGTATCCAGCACAGGTTTACCTTTTCAAATTTGTATTTATATGTTAGTAGTGTTTTTAGCAAATGTGGAATGATATATACGCTGCTTTATACGGTGACTTCAGTGTTTGAAGAGAAAACAACTTTCACAAAATTTTTCTACTTTTTTAGATATATTGGTTTATTTCAGGTGTTAGGTAAGTCATGTAAACCAATACCTGTCATGGTTTTTGGTTTTCTGATCGCCAATAAACGATATCACTGGAGAAAATGTTGCTATGTCTTAATGATTGTGAGCGGTGTTGCTTTGTTTCTTTATAAAGAAAAAGCAGGTAACATGCACCAAAAATCAACTTTTAACTTGGGAGTTGGCGAGCTTCTTTTGGTAAGTTACAACTGCTTATATTATAAAATTGAGGGATAGATGCTCATTCAGAATACAGCTTCATCATTATAAGTTATATTGCTGAACATGGAGTATTCTTTGGAATATATCTGATTTTATTAAATCATTTATACCATCGATAATCAGTTATATAATTACGGCTTAATTGCATATCCTTATGAATACAGTTGATGTATTTAAATAAACTTAAACATAGTAGTCTCATGAATTCATAATGTGTAAGTATTGAGCTTTCTTTTCATACGAAAATCTATTTGTAGTTGCTGTCCTTAGCTATGGATGGTACTACAGGAGCAATTCAAGATAAAATTCGTCACCAGTATACAGTAAAAGCTCATAATATGATGTATCATATGAATTTTTTCTCATCATTATATCTTCTTATTGGTCTATTACTTACATCGGAATTATTCAGTTTCATAACGTTTGTATATAATTATCCCGAATTATTTATCAATTTGATAGCTTTTGCGGGAACAGGCTGTATGGGACAGGTATCTCTTTCGGATTTTCATTTCAAATAATTTTATTTTTGTGGCACAAAATTTTTTATGAAAATGCCTCATTAAGTACAGAACTATGTAATTATTTTCAGTACTTTATCTTCAAAACTGTGGCAGAATTTGGTCCATTGACTTGTGCAATCGTTACAACAACGCGTAAATTATTCACCATACTATGTTCTGTGATATTGTTTGGTAATACTCTAACACGAAGACAATTTTTAGCCACTGCTATTGTGTTTTTGGGTTTGGTGTTAGATGCTATTGATAATAAAAAGAAAAAACTGATTACAGCAGGGAAACATATTGAAGATGTTACTAATAAAAGTAAAATGTTATGAATTGGTGTAATATTATATTTGTTATTAGATTTTTGTATTTAACTGCGATTGTGGCGCAATTCCTTAGTGGAAATCAGATGTCTTTTGCGTTTCTGTTATGGATATTTAGACAATTCTGGTATCCCTTGTAATTCTGTTGGTGAGCAAAAGTTATTATATGTTATATGTTATATTCTCATTAATGAAAAATTTTGTAGCTGGGCAAGCTCATTACGTAAACTTGGGTTTTGCACATTCCTGTCATAAATTATTCAAAAAGTTCTTCAAATCATGTTTTCCAGCCATACGAGTGTTGTTTCAGCAAGTTATATCTCCGTTACTTTACCAATTATTTTCGAAATGTAGGATTAAATTTTCCTTAATAAGTTGTGCCACCAAGTTTTTTTAGACTCTTTGTGTATTGAATTGCAGCTCAAAATTTGACTTGTCTTCGGAAAGGATTTTCATATGAATTTAAATTTCAAGGTCAGTTTTGTATTACTGAAGAAGTCAAGATTTTACAACGGCTAAGGGTTTTGTACTGCACGTTTCTTAAAAATATAAAAAAATATATATAATTAGATCCTCAAAATTTTTGATGTTATTTGAGTAGGCTTTGTTGATTATGAGTTGTAAGCGATTTATCATTTTTTAGTTTTTTTTTAGTTTTCAAGCCTTATCGGTACCGTTTACCGCAGTGGTAATGTTACATTTTCACCTGATGGTAATTCGTTAATCAGTCCCGTCGGCAATAAAATTACAGTATTTGATTTGAAAAGGTAATGATATTGTAATTTAAATATTGATTCTAAATTCAAATTTATGATATCACTGAAATCTTATGATTAAAAGCTGTTGTAGAGTATCAATTTTTTTTCTTTCAGTAACCAAGCAAACACTATAGCCATTCAATCAAATTTTAACATTAAGATAGTTGCTATTCATCCACGTGGGACGCATGCTTTTTTGGTAAATGATGGTATGCTTTTCTTTAAAATGTTTTTTCATACATGTATAGTTGTTTTTTTCAGAAATTATATGCTTAAATTTAATCATATATTGGTGAGCAAAAATATTATGCGTTATTCTCACTAATGAAGAATTTTGTAGCTGGGCAAGCTCAGTACGTAAACTTAGCCACCCAGACTGTTCTTTACCGACATCATTTTCGTGCTCGTGTTAATGATGCGAAGTTTTCATCCGATGGCAAGTGAGAGCTTTTTCAAAACTTCTGTTTTGAAAATAGTGTGAAGTTATCATTACGAAATAATTTCATGTTTATGTTTATTTGTATTGGATTTATTAATGAATCTCATTTTTTAAGACGTCTGGCTGTTTGTCGAACTGGTGATGTTCAAGTATTTTTGGTGTTTGGAATTGAAAACTTTCAACTAAATCCGTTTGTCTTAATACAAACACACAAAGTTACTGCTGAAAAAGTCAGACGCGTAGAGTGGAGCTATGATAACAAGTAAAAAATTAACTCCTAAGCTTGGGATATATGTTTTTAATTACTCTCAACCTACTTTACATCTTTATTCTTTACAATATTCGAGTAACTTAACAAGATTTGTATCCTTTTAGACTGCTGGTCGCAGGTTCAGAGGACAAACAAGTCCGCATTGTATCGGCAGTTGTCAGTTTGCAGAATCTTTTTTTACATGCTTTAGCTGCACACAAGGCAGAAGTTATTGGCAGTCATTTTTGTCACAACTCGTATGATGTAAGTTCTATAGTAGTATACTGAAGCTAAATTTATTTTACATCCGAGTACTAGTTGCAAACAGAAACATTGATCTGCTTCATTTGATTCAATAATTCATTCCTAGAAAGCAGAATTGTTTTGAAATAACTTTTTATTGAGTTTTGTAATCTTTTATTGTTGAGGAATTTTAAACTATGTAATTAAGGTAGTATCCGTTGATAAACGTGGATTGGCAAATCACTGGACTTGTGCTTTGAAGCAAAAAGATTTAGTGAAAGGATTATGTTCAAAAGATACTCCTGAAAATGTTAAAAAAATGTGGTATGATAAGACAAAAAGGTAGCATTTCTCTGTTTATCTCTTAAAACGATATCTACGATATCTATCAGGTCCATTAATCTGTTGCTGCAACAAATTCAGTAATGTATCGAAGTCCTTTTTAGTCATGATCAGTGTTCCTTGTATGCATATTATTTGCAACCTTATTAATGTATATATTGCTATATTTTCAATTCAAACTTTTCCATTATATTTCTATAATTTTTTTGGACATCATATGATGGAACACTTGGATAATGCCAAGGGCGTTAATTTAACAGCGAGTGCTTATCACGCATCAACTTCGCTCTTGATAACTGCGTTTTCAAATGGTGTATTTCTTCTACATGAAATGCCGCATTTTAATCTTATACATAGTTTACGGTAAATTTTTAATCATATTTTTAGTAATTTTATCAGCTAGTGCTAAAACGTTGCTTGAAAGTCGATATCAGAAGCATATTCACATCATTTTTATAATGTTCTTAATGATATCGCGTAATTCGTTAATAAGAAGTTATCGTCTTATAGCACTAAAAATTTATTACTTTTATTATTTTTACATGATATTTCTTTTCAAGCTTTGGTAAACTGTACTTTCCTTATTTCTGTAATGTTTGCATCAAATACGATTTGTAATAGATTTTCAAATTTTCCTGTATTTCTGACTATTTAAATTGTGAAGAGTGTCGGAAGCAGAGGTGTCATCTCTAGCTGTAAACAACTCTGGAGATTGGATAGCTATAGCATGTGGAAAAGGAACTGAAGGTCAGCTGGTGGTATGGGAATGGCAGAGTGAAACTTATGTAATGAAACAACAATCACATTGTCAATCTGTCGTTGCAGTTGCATACTCACCTGATGGATCTCAAATTGCTACGGGTGCTGAAGATGGAAAGGCGACTTTTATTTTTCCTTTAACTTTATAAAGCACCGTCTTTGCATTTCTTTGTTTCTGTAGTCCTAGATTTCTGGTGATAATACTTTCAATATTTGTTCATTTGTTTGGTTCTAAAATTTCAGGTCAAGATTTGGTCTTGTCGATCCTCATTTTGTGTTGTGACTTTTACTGATCATAGCAGTGGAATAAGTGCAGTTTGTTGGACTTCCGATTGCAAGGCTGTGCTGTCTGCATCGTTAGATGGAACTGTACGAGCACATGATCTTGTTAGGTGAGTGTGAAATTTTTGTAATGTCTATAAATTACTGGTTTCTATACGCTTATTCCTTTACACAGCACTTTTTAGATATCGCAATTTTCGTACATTGGTTTCTCCTGTTAAAACTCAGCTCGGTTCTCTCGCCGTTGATTCTAATGCTGAACTTGTTATGGCAAGTTCTGTGGAAATCTTTAATATTTATGTTTGGAGCCTTCAGAATGGGCAACTGTTAGATGTTTTATCAGGGCACACAGCTCCAATCGCGTCGATTTCTGTTCATGGTTGGTTGCAAGTTTCTTTGAAAATCTCATCATGTATTCACTCAGTTATCATTTTTTCTTTATATCCTCCTTTGTTCTCTAATTTTGCTTTAAAGTTGTTTAGTTTTTTGATAATTTTCAAACGTTCGATTTCAATTATATTTTGCACAAAAGAAAGTAAAATTTGAATTTTAGGCGCTCACATGGCTTCGGCATCTTGGGACAAAACTCTTCGCGTGTGGAATGTCGTTCAGTCATCAGTTGAAACAGTTGATTTACTTTTTGAAGGCCTTGATGTAACTTATTCTCCAAGTGGGGAAATATTAGCTGTAAGTTCATTGCTATTTCCTCATTTGACTATTGTAATACAAAAAATGATTTAGAAAAAAAAAATTCTCTGGCTTAAATCTTTGTCTGATATTTTTGTCTTAGGTTTTGTGTTTTGATTCTTCGATTAGTCTTTTTGAAACGCAAACACTGGCACAGTTGGGTACGATTGACACTGCTCTTGATGTTGATGCTGCACGTAGAGCTAATGATATAATCAAGAAAAAAACAAGTGAAAAAAACAGGCAAGATAATCTTGAATTATATTTTAAATGTTGAACATTTTATGGATTGAGTGTATTAAATATCGTAATTTAAGGACTTTTACTTGTATATGTTTCTCTGCCGATGGATCATTACTTCTTGCTGCTGGACAGTCTAACTACATATGCTTATATAGTGTAGCAGAAAGATTTATAGTTAAAAAATTGCAATTAACAATCAATCGCAGCCTCGATGGAGTTAAGGTAGGTAATTGTAAGACATTTGCTGAAATCAAAATAGTATGATTACTTGTATTGTGTTTAATTTCAGATGGATATAAATAGGCGTAATTTTTCGGAATTCGGTAACATGATGTTAATAGATTGCTCTGATAGTGAAGATGAACAAGATGGTAAGAAACGCATAAAACTCCCAGGTACACGGCATTCAGATCTCTCTGAAAGGCGCTGTCGACCGGAAATGCGCGTTAACAATATAAAATGTTCACCTACTGGTAAACAGTTTGTTTAAATATATAATTTTGAATTGTAACTAGGATTAAGTGTAAAAAACTTACATATTTGAATGTGCCGTTATATCAATTAATTTGTCAGATTGTTTTTTTCAGGCAGATGTTTTGCTGTGTGCTCAACAGAAGGCGTGGCTGTGTTTTCTCTTGATCACCGTAGTCTTTTCAATCCATTTGAGCTTGGTGTGCAAGTAACTCCAGTCACAGTTAAGAATGCATTGCTTGAAAGAGAGTATTCAGCAGCACTGGAAATGGCATTACAGTTAAATCAGGAAGATATAATCGAAAATGTTTTCTTATCTACACCTGTAGCTCAAAGTAAGCGTAATTTTCATCTCATTAAATTTGAGAATTTTCTTAAAAGTCACTCCTAGTTTATATTGTGATAATCCTAGATGTCTTGAGTCATTTTTAAAAAAATTTTTTGTGCATTGTTCCCAAAGTTGATCTTATGTATTAGTTCAACAGTGTAAGTCATTTGCTAAAGTTTCGTGTTAGGAATGAATATTTTAAAATTATATGAACTGTAGTTGACGTTGTGGTGCGCTCGTTATCAATTGCTTATGCGGAAAAATTACTAACTTGGCTTGCTCAGAATGGTAATGGCTCTTTGGAAAGGCATATACACTTTTGGCAGATATGGCTTAAAAGTTTGTTAATGGAACATGGATATCAGATTAAGCTTAATCGAGCCTCGAACTTAACTTCACTAACGTCATTGCAGCAATGCATATCTGATTACGCAAATCATGTGACAAAATTGTAAGTTATAATAAAGTTATAAAAAGTACTGGAAAGTATTATGCTTTTGATTCTTTAATTTCGGAATCAGAAGTAAGCTTTTAAATGCAGTGAATTACGTGAGTCCAAAAGTGACAGTTACTACTGCTTTTTTACATTTGACTTGTGCAGAAATAATACGTGATCGTATAAAATACTAAAACACATTTCTCAAATAAATGTATCACTTAAATATTAAAACTTTATTCAGTAAAGTTTAATTTCAATAATACTCACTTTAAATTGATCGAATATTAAATTATAGTTTGTGATAAAAATGATTTGCCATTTTGTAGGGTTGATCAAAATAGATACACACTGGATTATCTTCTTGTGGCAAGACAGATAAAGAAGAGTGAAAAATAACAGATTTAATTCATGTCCTGTAATTAAATTAAACCGTACTACTATTGTTTCAAAAAATTTTGTTATTGTTAATATCTGGATTGATAAAACATATCGGACAATCCTTCAACAGTTTACTGAAATGAAAAAAGTGGTGGAAAAAGAAGAAAGTTTAAACATTTCGCCAACTTCACCAAAGATTAATCAAAAATCGCTATGAAGTATGTACGACGAATAATTTGGACGCTTGCTATAAACATCTCCGACTCATAAATCTGAACATCTTGAAAGCATTTTGAAGTGTACGACGATGAGATAAATGTATCTGGAACTGTCAGTATGTTGCCAGATGTTTCCACAACCACATTCTCTCAAACTGATCAATTATTTCTTTAACTTCTGTTCATTTGCAAAGTGGCCTATCAATTTATTGCGGATTGGCTATTGTATCAGATGTTGCAGAAATGATTGACTACAGAATTGAATTTATCCTAACTTTACTAACTGCAGTAAAAAAGGGATGGAAGGGCTAGATGAGTTGAATGTCAAAGATCAAGGTGGCATTTTTCTTGCATATATATATATATATATATATATATATATATAT